TTCGAGGTATATCCAAACCCTAAACCCTAAACCCTAAACCCTAGTAAACCCTATTAAACCCTAGTAAACCGTAGTAAACCCTAGTAAACCCTAAACCCTAAACCCTAGGGAAAGAACAGCTTGCATCGCTTGTAGCTCTGCCTTAGGTGGTTTTAGGGCTTAGAGTATAGCAGCAGTTAGGGTTTAGAAGGGTTTTGTAGGGTTTAGGGTTTACTAGGGTTTACTAGGGTTTACAAGGGTTTACAAGGGTTTAGGGTTTAGGGTTTAGGGTTTTGGTGTGCAGGTGACGCCGTCGTCAGTAATCAGCAAATTTCATGGAGAGACAGAAAAGCTCATCAAGGCTCTCTTCAAAGGCAACAAACCCTAAACCCTAAACCCTAAACCCTAAACCCTAGTAAACCCTAGTAAACCCTCGTAAACCCTAGTGAACCCTTGTAAACCCTAGTAAACCCTAGTAAACCCTAAACCCTAGTAGTATCCCGAAAACACTAGGAATACACGCTAAAGTCTGGTAGTAAACCCTAAACCCTAAACCCTAGTAAACCCTAAACCCTAATAGTAAACCCTAAACCCCAATAGTAAACCCTAAACCCCAATAGTAAACCCTAAACCCTAAACCCTAATCATAGATCCTAAACCGTGAGGGAAAGGCCGTCACGGTCATGGTAACCCCTAATCCCTAAACCCTAAACCCTCAATTAAACCCTAAACCCTAAACCCTAAACCCTTGGGTGTTTTGCAGTTGCTGAGCTTGAGAGCCCCGCTATAATATTCATCGATGAGATAGATTCCCTCCTGGGCAAACGGCGCGATGTAAACCCTAAACCCTAAACCCTAAACCCCAAACCCTAAACCCCAAACCCTAAACCCCAAACCCTAAACCCTAAACCCCAGACTCTAAACCCTAAACCCTAGACTTTCAGACGGACTCTTTAGCGGAAACCCTCAGCCCAGAGGTACAAGTGTGAATTGCAGGAGTCTAGGGTTTAGGGTTTAGGGTTTAGGGTTTAGGGTTTAGGGTTTGTGGTTTAGAGGGAAGACGACTCATCCATACGAATGAAAAACCAACTCCTACAAATGATGGTGAACCTGCTGCTGCTGCTGCTGCTGCTGCTGCTGCTGCTGTTGCTGCTGTTGCTGCTGCTGCTGGTTTGGTTGTTGCTGTTGTTGCTGCTGCTGCTGCTGCTGTTACTCGCCTTGCTGTTGCTGCTGCTGCTGCTGCTATTTATTCTGTTGCTGCTGCTGCTGCTGCTGCAGCAACATCCTTTTTGTCTGCGAGTTATATATGCTGCTATTGCTGCTGCTGCTGCTGCTGCTGCTCCGTTGCTACTGCTTTTGCTGCTGCTGCTGCTCCGCTGCTGCTGCTGCTGCTGCTGCTGCTGCTGCAGGACGGGCTAGGAAGCAGCAGCAGCAGCACCGTCATCGTCATCGGCGCAACCAACAGACCAGACATGCTTGATGATGT